TATATTAAATAATTTCATGTGATATATTTTCTGTGTAGGAAAATAATAAACATTTCGATTTTTATAGTAATTAAATGCGCTAATGGAACTTTATTGGAATAATAAATTACACATGAACAAGCAGATCACAATGTATTTACATAAATGAGAGCTTTGGTAATTTATATTCATATATGCTATATACATTTGATGTACTTATTTTTATCTATTAATAAATAACACTTATTGATTTTAGGTTATTGAAATAGATGTGTAAGCAAGTGACAGATGAATGGATAGGTGAGTGATCAAATGGCTCAAATGAATTGGTGAAGGAATAGGTAGGTAGAAGAATAGATAAATGAGATGTATTTAAATAAGGGAACGTCTAAATGAGTAGATGCATAAGCAGGGTATATGAGAAATAAGTAAACAAATGAAATAATCAAATGAGTAAATGGAGAGATAAATAAGCGATTCAACAGATAACTTGAGAACAAAAACATGAATATATAAATATGAAATTTTAGCAAATTTATATTTTTTATTAAACATTAAAAAAAAAGTTATACAAACTAAAATAGAATTTTTTTATTCATCTTCGTTATCTTCATTATTATTGAATTCTATTTCTGTTGCCGATTCATTATCTAAATGTACTACTACTTCTTCTCTTTTTTGTTCCTCATCTGATTCATCTGATTCATATAGAAAATGATCTTGTGAGCTATCATCAGCATTGGAAATGCCACACTTTAGAAAAGATTTTATAACTATTTGACTTGGTATCTCTTCCCAAGCTTGGAGAATTCATTCGCATATGAGTTTGTAAGGTGGTTTTTTTAAATTTCCACCTTTAGTCAAAGTAACCTCATTCATTATCCACGTATTCCACTTTTTTTGAAGATTATCTTTAAAAGGTTTATTTAAGCACACATCAAGTGATTGTACTATAGATGTAAGACCCCAGGAATAATTGCTGGTATACAATTCAATTTTTTATATGTATTTTTGACAAATTCAGTTTTGTGTCCCTCAAAAGAGTCTAAAACCAATAAATTTTTTTTTCTTAATAAACCTTCGGTTCGATAATGCCAAATTTTATTTAGCCAAACTTGCATTACTTTTTCATTCATCCAATATTTTTCACTCATATCAACAATAATACCTTGAGATAAATCTTTAGGAAGATGTTTGCCTTTAAAAATCACCATTGGTGGAAGCTTTACTCCATTAGCCAAAACACTTAGTACGCAAGTAAACCGGTTTTTTTCATTTTCCGTTGTTATGATTTGTACAGTTTTTGCACCCTTTTGATTAACCGTTAAGTTTGTTATCATATCAAAATATACAGGTGTTTTATTTATATTGCCAATTTGATCCATAATATAGTTGTACAATCTTCTTTGTTTTATAATAAATCATTGAAAAAACAATAATTTATCATCCAAATCTTCTGGAAGTTTTTGTGAAATTTTTGTATACCGACAAAGAAAAGATCATGTCGATGTAAAAATCTATAGAACCAATGATCGGATGCTAAAAAATTACTAGAATTTGAATATTTTTCATTAAATTCATTTTCTAACAAATATTTCATTTGTGTCTTAACATTATTAGTTGTTACGCAAAATGTATTCTGCCATAATTCAAGAATTTATTGTTTTAAAACAATTTCTACATCTGGATAGTGTAAATGGCAACCAATACCAATTTTTCGAGCTTTTAAATGTACAGTTTTCAACTTTTCTTCTTCTTTTTTCCAACGTAAAACCATAGAATGATCGATATTATATTTCCTCGCTGCTGTT